ACATTTGCCCTTACAGACGAGGCACTTAGGAACTAATTAAAGCTTTGCAATTGCTAAACACCAGCATGAACAGGTGTGAAACAACCATCATTTGTATTGTACTATTGTGTTCTACATTAACAAATCTTGGAAGATGAAAAACTAAGAACACAACATATGTGGAACAGCCACTGTTAAGAATGCTATGTATGCTGTACACAGCAATACAACAAAAGTACAAGATTTCAATTTGCAAAGTTTCTTCCTGTGCATGTTTGTGCAATACATATTGTACATACAGAAATAGTAAACCCTCAACTGAACAGAGTAATTGGGGGAAGAGCAGGTGGACCATAATAGTGACAGTGGTAGAAAAAGAAGAGATTGTTAGATCATAACAATGAATGACAATTCTACAACCAACAGACTTCGTTCACTTTTCCAAATCAATTAACCCAGCAGACTTTGTCCCATGTTCCTAAGTCCATTAAATCATGGTCCATTTAATTGATTTTTTATTTTATTCATTAACATTTACTAATATGGAACACAATTTCTCACATTACATTAAGCTTGTGTATAGTCATAACAGCATAAATAATTTAACAAGATAACACATTTTAGGTAATGAAGTCCAGTAACAAGTTTAAATATACAGTGTATTTGACAAAATAAATCCAAAGGAATGTGTGGCTGATAAATACATATATGATAGCTGAAAACTGCCTTTGCAAAAAAAAAATAAATAAATAAAAGAAATGAATGAATAAAACCATAAAAAAAATAGTTGACAGAAGATTAATTTAAAAAGGTAAACTAATACTCAGAAGACTATAAATTTAAAAAACAGATGCAGCAATGTACTAGCCAGAGCTGAGGTAATAAAGTAAGTAATGGACTAAAAAAAATCTTCCTGAGAGTCCTTCTATAAGTGGTTTATAAATAAACTGCAACCAGGTTACTGATTCTATTTTACTTACCATGGATAAGAACTGATTATCATAATAATTAAATATTAAATGCATGTTTAACTTGGAATTAATTACCATATTTAAAAACCTGCAAAAAAGTACACTGTTAATTTAAGTAGGAATTATAGACATACTGTACATATTGTAATAAAGTTGGTAGAATTACCGACAATATGTAAAGTAAAAGGACACAAGTGCAACTAATGTGACATTTATTGTGGCAACGTTTCGCTCTCCAGGAGCTTTATCAAGCCATTACAAACAATACATGGACACAGAGGGTATATAAAGGCTCAGAGTGAGGTGAATACTAGTGAGGTACCATTTCGATGTTCACTAGTGGTAGTAGTAGTAGTAGTAGTAGTGGTAGTGACAAAAGTAATACAATAATTGCTCTACCATATTGTATTACTTTTGTCACTACCACTACTACTACTACTACTACTACCACTAGTGAACATCGAAATGGTACCTCACTAGTATTCACCTCACTCTGAGCCTTTATATACCCTCTGTGTCCATGTATTGTTTGTAATGGCTTGATAAAACTCCTGGAGAGCGAAACGTTGCCACAATAAATGTCACATTAGTTGCACTTGTGTCCTTTTACTTTACATACTGTACATAGTCATTAGACAAAGCAGATAAAACATGCAATTTATTCAATTAATTCTCTTTGTTTAAAAATAACTAAAAGAAAAACTTTTCAGTCTTATTTTCTACATTCATAATAAAATTACACAGACGACCCTCACCTCTCTCTGATGGACCTCATTCTGCCTATATATATTCTCACGTTTCTCTTGCATAAAAGGTCCTTGACCTATGATGTTCCAACTAGCTATGTTCATCTTCTATCACATTTGCACTTCAGAATCAACTACTGTACTCTAATGATTTACACATGAACATGCTGTTCTGATACATGGAACTAGTACAGTAGACTCTCGGTTATCAGCCATTCCTGTTATCAACCAACTCGGTGATCGGCGGGTTTTTAGGTTCCCAGTGATCGGCTGTTTCAGAAGTGTCCGTCCAACGGCTGGGGCCACTTGTGCATCAGTTTGACTGTGTCTCTTGGTGTGTGAGGACGCTTCTGCTCATACATCCAAACATTTCGCTTGTTTTCCATTATTTTTTTTGTGGATTTTTGCAGTGCAACTGTGAAATAAGTAACCATGACTACAAAGAAAGTTCCTAGTAAAGATCCTGTGGTAAAGAAAGTGAGAAACACCATGGAATTTAAGCATGAAGTGTAGCAGGCATGCAGAGAGTGTAGCAGGCATGTAGGGAGTGTAGCAGGCATGCAGGGAATGTAACAGGCATGCAGGGAGTGTAGCAGGCATGCAGGGAGTGTAGCAGGCATGCAGGAAATGTAGCAGGCATGCAGGAAGTGTAGCAGGCATGCAGGAAGTGTGGCAGGCATGCAGGAAGTGTGGCAGGCATGCAGGAAGTGTAGCAGACATGCACGGAGTGTAGCAGGCATGCAGGGAGTGTAGCAGGCATGCAGGGAGTGTAGCAGACATGCAGGATGTGTAGCAGGCATGCAGGAAGTGTAGCAGGCATGCAGGGAGTGTAGCAAGCATGCAGGGAGTGTAGCAGGCATGCAGGAAGTGTAGCAGACATGCAGGGAGTGTAGCAGGCATACAGGAAGTGTGGCAGGCATGCAGGAAGTGTAGCTAGCAGACATGCAGGAAGTGTAATAGGCATGCAGGAAGTGTAGCAGTCATGCAAGGAGTGCAACAAGCATGCAGGGAGTGTAGCAGGCATGCAGGGAGTGTAGCAGACATTCAGGAAGTGTGGCAGGCATGCAGGAAGTGTAGCAGGAATGCAGGAAGTGTGGCAGGCATGCAGGGAGTGTAGCAGGCATGCAGGGAGTGTAGCAGACATTTAGGAAGTGCAGCAGGCATGCAGGAAGTCTAGCAGGCATTCCAGAAGCCAGCATTAGTCTTCAATAAAGGTATGTAATGCTGATTTAATTGTTAAAATTTTTTTTTTTTTTTTGTGAATATTTTTGTCTGGAATGGATTAATTGTATTTACATTATTTCTTATGGGAAATACTATTTCGGTTTTCGGCCATTTTGGTTTTAGGCTGAGCTTCTGGGATGGATTACGGCCGATAACCGAGGGTCCATTGTACTTATGATTAACTTGAGGCTGACATAAATACTGTATATTTGCACTTAATTTTTACCAAATGAATTCATACTTTGTGCATGTAAATTTTATGCACAAAGTGATAGATGAAATTTGTTTGGTAGAGACTGATCAAGAACTATAGCTTTAACATTTAAGATATATTTTAGACTTTGGTAGCCCCAAGTACGTATTGGACATGTCAGTGTGAGGTGAAAGACCCTCCCACCTCCTCTCTGAGACTGTCCATGTTGCAATTTATAAGTGAACAGGCATAGTACAGTACTTAATGTACAATAATGGGTCAATGTTCTTAGTTCAAAAATTACATGAAATTATAAATAAAATATCATATCCTGGGGGTGCACCTTCAATTAAAACATGAGTGTGTATGGAGAAAACTGGTTCCAAGTTCGGAACAATGATCTTATGAAAAATTTCCAGGAACAAATTAGCAACTTAAGTCATGACCTATTGTATTCTCTATAAATGTGAAAAACTTGGTCTCCAAGTAAAATTTTGTCTTAATAAAGTGTGCATTCTGCCTCTGTATCTTTGTTTTATAATTTGTCAGTATTTTATACCTCTTACACCCAGGATAAACTCTACTGTATCTATAGCATATCTTGCATCACTATACAGTGGACCCTCGGTTATCAGCCTTAATCCATTCCAGAAGGTCGGCCTAAAACCGAAATGGCCTAACACCGAAATAATATTTCCCATAAGAATTAATGTAAATGGAATTAATCCATTCCAGACACCCAAAAAATATTAAAAAAAAATACATTTTTTAAAGATTAATTAGAGTTTTACATACACAAAACAATAAGAACTAAATAAAATAAATAAATGAACATTTAAATCACTATTACATACCTTTATTGAAGACTTGTTGGATTATGGAAGACAGGGAGGACTGATTATTGTTTGGAAGGGGAATCCCCTCCATAAGGACTTCAGGTATCAAAGCCCTCTCTGGGGTTACTTCCCTCCCTGCCTGCTACACTCCCTGCCTTCCTCCTACACTCCCTGCTGCACCCTGCCTCCCTACTACACTCCCTGCTTGCCAACTACACTCCCTGCTTGCCAACTACACTCCCTGCCTCCCTGCTACACTCCCTCCCTCCATGCTACACTCCCTGCTACACCCTGCCTCCTTACTACACTCCCTGCCTGTCTGCTACACTCCCTGCTAAACTCCTTTTCACATTAGCTTGCCTTGATGCTTGGATGAATGAGCAGAAGTGTCCTCACTTGCCCAGAGACACAGCCAGACTGACTCATGAATGTGCGAGCGGCTGGCGGGCAGGCAGGTTGACGTGTCCCATACGACCGATAAGAGAAATAATGGCAGATAACCGGAAGCCGAAAAAACAGCCGATAACCAAGTTGGCTGATAAGCGAAACGGCTGATAACCGAGGGTCCATTGTACACTAAATAGTATCTGTAATCATTTAATACTGCATGTAGGCATCATACTTATGTATAGAGGACAGTACTGTACAGTGTATTGTACTGTACTGTACTCCATTTACATAAAAGAAAACAAAGCAGTAACATCCAGTTTTGTCCTTTAATGTTCTCTCACTCAACTTATTATTTGCCTTTATAAAATAATTATTCTCCATCTACTTATTGTTAAATTATTAATAATGCCTCCACTCAACATCTTGTATATTCTACATATTTTTGCACTGATCATAAATAGCCTCTTTATTCTTGTACAGGTCATTCCAGCTTATATAACTATCCTTGTACAAAATTCTTGTCTGTGTCTACACAAGTCCTTCCATATGCACCTACACCAGCATTGTATATAATAACATCAGCCTGTATGTAGCTACACCTGCCCTATATGTAGTTACATCATCCATATAGTATCTAGTTATCCAGAGTGTGAGGTCTCACCTATAATATTTTCCTTCGAAGGGAATACTGTTGTATCTCTGACACTGCTCAGCACGGAAGTCCACTGATCCTTCGGGACATGACTGTTGGTAGAATATGGAAAAAAAAAGTCAGTAAAAAGCATTGTTACTAATGTTTGGCACCACCACTACAGGACCCACTTACCAACACTCCTAGAACCCTAACTCATATAATAGTCCTATATAACAGTCCTTCAACCCCTGAAATCATTATAAAAGGAGGTACAGGAACAGGGTAACATCTGTCATGTGCCCAATGGCCTGGTGGATAAAGCTCTAGCTTCACACGGCGAAGGTCTGGGTGTCTATGTTCACTCATCAGTAAAATGAGTACCTGGGTGTTAGTCGACTGGTGTGGGTCGTATCCTGGGACAAAACTGACCTAATTTGCCCAAAATGCTCTGCATAACAAGTGGTTTTCTATATACATGTAGTAGTATGTCACTGATGTCTGCTAGGCCTGTATACCTTGTACATGTACTTGTAGAAATAAAGATATAATATAATATAATAATATAGTATAATCTTCAGTAATTTTAGTCAAAGGAGCAGAGAAAGTTTTCTCTTCTTTTCCAATCATGAACCATGATCCAACTTCCCCCACCACCAACCAGCCACCCCATTATTATTACAATCATAACCAAGCGTTAAACCCATAAGGATCATACAGCACTGACCAGCCACCCCAACTATCCATACAAAATACCTTAGACAACAAGTGTCTTAATCGGCTAACTATTCAGGGCAGTCAACCAAATTCTCTCTTCACCTCCATCTGATGTCCCTCCCTCACAATCTCTCTTCACCTCCATCTGACTCCCCTCCCTCACAATCTCTCTTCACCTCCATCTGACCCCCCTCCCTCACAATCTCTCTTCACCTCCATCTGACGCCCCTCCCTCACAATCTCTCTTCACCTCCATCTGACTCCCCTCCCTCACAATCTCTCTTCACCTCCATCTGACCCCCCCCCTCACAATCTCTCTTCACCTCCATTTGATGCCCCTCCCTCACAATCTCTCTTCACCTCCATCTGACTCCCCTCCCTCACAATCTCTCTTCACCTCCATCTGACCCCCCTCCCTCACAATCTCTCTTCACCTCCATTTGATGCCCCTCCCTCACAATCTCTCTTCACCTCCATCTGACTCCCCTCCCTCACAATCTCCTTCACCTCCATTCTGACCCCCCCCCTACAATCTCTTTACCTCCATCTGACCCCTCCACTCACAATCTCTCTTCACCTCCATTGACCCCCCTCCCTCCAATCTCTCTTCACTCCATCTGACCCCCCTCCCTCACAATCTCTCTTCACCTCCATCTGATCCCCTCCCTCACAATTCTCTCTTCACCTCCATTGGACCCCCCTCCCTCACAATCTCTCTTCACCTCCATCTGACCTCCTCCCTCACAATCTCTCTTCACCTCCATCTGACCCCCTCCCTCAACAATCTTCTTTACACCTCCATCTGACCCCTCCTTCACAATCTCTCTTCACCTCCATCTGACCCCTCCCTCACAATCTCTCTTCACCTCCATCGACCCCCTCCCTCACAATCTCTCTTCACCTCCATCTGATTCTGCTCCTCACAATCTCTCTTCACTCCATCTGACCCCTCCTCACAATCTCTCTTCACCTCCATCTGACCCCCCTCCCTCACAATCTCTTCACTCCATTGATTTCCCTCCTCACAATCTCTCTTCACCTCCATCTGACCCCTCTCCCTCACAATCTCTCTTCACCTCCATTGACCCCCTCCTCACAATCTCTCTTCACCTCCATTGACCCCCCTCCCTCACATCTTCACCTCCATCTGAACCCCACCCTCACAATCTTCACCTCCATCTGACCCCCCCTCCCTCATCAATCTCTCTTCACCTCATCTGACCCCCCTCCCTCACAATCTTCACCTCCATCTGACCCCTCCCACAAATCTTCACCTCCATCTGACCCTCCCTCACAATCTTCACCTCCATCTGACCCCCCTCCCTCACAATCTTCACCTCCATCTGATCCCCCTCCCTCACTCAGTACTTCATTCCCACTTTTCTTCCCTTTATCTATCCACCTTCCTCAGCCACATCTTGTCCATGCTTTTTACATCATTCTTGTTATAAAATTCTGCTTATACTATTGATGCTAGTGAAGGGCTCTTGATCTAAGGAATTGTAGCTATTCCTTCTAATTCCTTGGTTCACACCTGATTACATCCCAATTCACTGGTGCTGTATGACCTTTACAGGTTTAGTTCTCCCCATGAATGTAGTAACAGTAATAATAATCCTCATAATATTCTACTTGAACCATCCCTTTCACCAGTTTCTTTGTGCTCTTCTATACTCTTTTCTTGCCCCTTATATTTAAGTAATTATATATAATTTTAATCATAACCAAGCACTAAACACGTAAGAGTTTAAGTTTATTTAGACACAAGTACACATAAGTACAATTGTCATACATAGTGTAAATTACCTATGATAACACCAAAAAAAAGCCAGTGACATTTCTATTAGGTTCCTTTCTCTTAATTACTTTAGCCCCCTTCTTTCACCTTTTCTAAGTTATTTTTCTCTTCTTTTCTTACCCTATACCTCTAACTGCCTCTAACATTGTCGTATCACATTTTTGTAATCCACCTTTTAAGGATCGTATATATATATATATATATATATATTATTATATATATATATATATATATATATATATATATATTATATATATAATATAATATATATAGGGAGATTCTGAAGAGAAGCTGCAGAGATTGGTGGATGAATTTGGTAGGGTGCGCAAAAGAAGAAAATTAAAAGTGAATACAGGAAAGAGTAAGGTTATGAGGATAACAAAAAGATTAGGTGGTGAAAGATTGGATATCAGATTGGAGGGAGAGAGTATGGAGGAGGTGAATGTATTCAGATATTTGGGAGTTGACGTGTCAGCGGATGGGTCTATGAAAGATGAGGTGAATCATAGAATTGATGAGGGGAAAAGGGTGAGTGGTGCACTTAGGGTCTGTGGAGACAAAGAACTTTGTCCTTGGAGGCAAAGAGGGGAATGTATGAGAGTATAGTTTACCAATGCTCTTATATGGGTGTGAGCATGGGTGATGAATGTTGCAGCGAGGAGAAGGCTGGAGGCAGTGGAGATGTCATGTCTGAGGGCCATGTGTGGTGTGAATATAATGCAGAGAATTCATAGTTTGGAAGTTAGGAGGAGGTGCGGGATTACCAAAACTGTTGTCCAGAGGGCTGAGGAAGGGTTGTTGAGGTGGTTCGGACATGTAGAGAGAATGGAGCGAAACAGAGTGACTTCAAGAGTGTATCAGTCTGTAGTGGAATTAAGGCGGGGTAGGGGTCGGCCTAGGAAAGGTTGGAGGGAGGGGGTAAAGGAGGTTTTGTGTGCAAGGGGCTTGGATTTCCAGCAGGCATGCGTGAGCGTGTTTGATAGGAGTCAATGGAGACAAATGGTTTTTAATACTTGACGTGCTGTTGGAGTGTGAGCAAAGTAACATGTATAAAGGGCTTCAGGAAACCAGCAGGCGGAATTGAGTCGGGCATGGGAAGTACAGGCCTGCACCTGAAGGGGTGTAATGTGCAGTTAAAATGTAGTGTAAGCACCTTGGCAAGACAGGGATGAGTGTGATGAGAAAGTTTTTCTTTTTCGGGCCACCCTGCCTGGTGGGAATCAGCCATGTGATAATAAAAAAATAAACAATATATTATATATATATTAATTATATATATAATATATATATATATATATATATATATATATTATATTGCAAGGAATCGCGAGAGCATGCGAAATATACACAGAACACGTCTCTGGTGAAGGAGACCGAACCTCGAACCTTAGACAAGTGGGACGCCATGTGCTATAACCAAATCTACAACACTGACATACCTTGGCTAGTCAGCCTACAGTTTGATCCAAGGACAGCTTTCAGGGAGAAGGCTTACAGCTTTCATCTCATCCTGATCATAGCCTATAAATTTGAATCAATGCAAGGAATTCGCGAGAGCATGCGAAATATACACAAACACTGATCTCTGGCTGAAGGAGACTCGAACCTACGAACCTTAGGACAAGGTACGCAGTGCTTTACCAATCTACCCACACTGGACCAATACCTTGGCGTGTAGCATGCGCTACACGTTGATCCAAGGCAGCCAGCTTTCAGGGAGAAGGCTTACAGCTTTTCATCTCATCCCCTGCATGCATCAGCCTTACTAGAGATTTGAACAATGCAAGGAATTCGAAATCTCTAGTAAGGCTGATGCATGCAGGGGATGAGATGAAAAGCTGTAAGCCTTCTACCTTAAAGCTTGGCTGCCTTGGATCAAACGTGTACGCATGCTACACGCCAAGGTATGGTCCAGTGTGGGTAGATTGGTAAAGCACGCGTACCTTGTCCTAAGGTTAGTAGGTTCAGTCTCCTTCAGCCAGAGATCAGTGTTTGTGTATATTTTGCATTCTCTCGCGAATTCCTTGCATGTTCAATCTCTAGTAAGGCTGATGCATGCAGGGGATGAGATGAAAAGCTGTAAGCCTTCTCCCTGAAAGCTGGCTGCCTTGGATCAAACGTGTAGCGCATGCTACACGCCAAGGTATTGGTCCAGTGTGGGTAGATTGGTAAAGCCTGCGTACCTTGTCCTAAGGTTCGTAGTTCGGTCTCCTTCAGCCAGAGATCAGTGTTTGTGTATATTTCGCATGCTCTCGCGAATTCCTTGCATTGTTCAAATCTCTAGTAAGGCTGATGCAGCAGGGGATGAGATAAAAAGCTGTAAGCCTTCTCCCTGAAAGTGGCTGCCTTGGATCAAAACGTGTAGCGCATGTACACGCCAAGGTATTGGTCCATGTGGGTAGATTGGTTAAAGCACTGCGTACTTGCCTAAGGTTCGTAGGTTCGAGTCTCCTTCAGCCGAGATCAGTGTTTGTGTATATTCGCATGCTTCGCAATTCTTGCATGTCAATCTCTGTAGGCTGATGCATGCAGGGGATGAGATGAAAAGCCTGTAAGCCTTCTCCTTGAAAGTGGCTGCCTTGGATCAACGTGTAGCGC